AATACACTGTTTATGTATATACCAAGAAATACTTCTACAACACTCGTGTGGTCACTGCACTGCCAACAGGGTGTAATTTAACCTCACCACCGGTGCAACGTGGTGTTCGACTTCCTCACTGTACCTATTTTGGTGAAAGCATGTAAAGTAATTAAATTCCCTCAGCAGCTGTATATTCCTGCATGTAAAGTAATTAAATTCCCTCAGCAGCTGTGTATTCCTGCATGTAAAGTAATTAAATTCCTTGCAGCAACCGGCAGCTGTGTATTCCTGGTATGAGCCACAGGTAAGCTGCTTATCCAGCATGAGTGATTGTTTCTCCATAAAAGCACCTTTGTTTTGTTGTCATCATCCAAGCCAAACTACTTAAATATGTTGTTAAATGATGGTGTGGACACTCACCTGCATCCCCTGGTATCATACTGCCTCATAGTCTTAATGAAGTGGACTTTCTTTGGCACTTTGGGTCCAGGAGAACCAGAGATGTTCCTCAGCCTGTGTAGAAATAATCTTTAGGAATAATTCCTCAAACATAAACGTTTCAACTTATCCAATGGTCAGTTTAATATAGTACATTAGATGTTGTGTTCGTCAGTAGTGTCAGGGTCATGAGGGGTAAAGTAAAACCGGAAGTGAACTCCTCCGGTACCTGGTGTGAAGCCGGAAGTCAGTGGCCCGTTTCAAGGCCCATATTGACGGTTTGTGTGAAAGGACACCGACCTACAGTGAGCTCACCTCTGCCGTGAATCCACAGGTTGTCCGGTCGGAACCGGGCTGAGGGCGGCGGGCATTGACTTGGCTCTCGAGCACGGCGGGTGTCCGGCTGGGACGGGCGACATGGGGGTGTCCGGGGCGAGCGCCTCCACCGCGCCGCTGCTCTCTAAAAAAACCTCGTTGGCTCCAATTGAAGCCGCGGCGGTCGGAGACGTTACCATGGAGGGCCGGACAGGGCTGAACACCCCGGTGAAGGTGGAGGACGAGCCGCTGCCCACCGCGGAGCCTTCGGTCTCCTGCTGGGGGGCAGGTCCGTCACCAAGCTGCTCCAGCGTCGTCCCGCCAGCCCGGGGCTCCTCCGCAGCTCTTTGCTCGTCATTTCTAGCGTTCAGCTGACACAGGGGCCGTCCGTCCAGAGAGATATTATTGAGAAACAGCAGGGCGGCCCGTCGTCTTCGGGAGTCTTTTACTCTCCTCCGCGGCTCCCGAGTTCTCGCTGGTTTACTGTTCCCACCGCTGCTGCACGGCAAACCGCACAGAGCGGCCGCCATTCTACTCTGACAGCAAGCCGAGCAACGGACACGGGTTATCTGCGTTAGCCCCGCCCACTACACAATGATTGGCTGTAAATATATTTATTCCCGCCTATGACTTGGAAATCTGCGTTGGTGATTTGGTATTTAAAGAACGAACGTTAATGCTCGTATTTGATTGGTTGGCGGGCTGGAATGGGCGGAGTGCTGGTGATAATGTACATTTTACTACAATTACAATAAGTAGAAGTTGGAGCGTGCATCAGGATACACTAATAACTAGAAGAATTCTGATTACATTAAGCAGCTAATATGACTACATTTAAAAGCACAAACAACAAACAAACTTCACTTCCACTAAAAGTATTGAGAGAAGCAAGAGTAAAACGAAATGTTAAATCTGCAGCTATGACCCACTGAGCTCAGCTGTCAAATTTAAGACAGACAGAAACAGACTGAAAAGTAAGGCTCAAACATTCAACGTGTGGTATTTTTTGAAATTCTTGATCCTTGATTTGCAGAAAACTCTGATAGTCACTCCCATGCATTTTATGTTTCTAGAAGACATGACAATTAAAAAATACCATTCACGTCCAATTAATAAGAGAATAATTTAAACTAAAGTCTGCGGATGCTTGGCTATACTCTTTGTATTTCTGAGGCATTTTGAGATATTTACAAAAATATATTGTGCATCAATAACTGTCAGTTCAATTCAATGGAGAAAAAATCTCCCAAAATCATAAATTTTAAACCACAGTGTTGATATTCGTCAGACATATAAAGTTTAACTTTCTGTGAAGTTTGCCATAAAGGGTGTAAACTCTGGCTTCAGAGGGGATCTAACACAAAACCATAAATCATACTGCAGCGAGACACAGGAGGTGAATGAACCTTATGATGTATGACAGTTGCAGTCAAAAATATGTACATGAATGTTAAATTAACTCCAATCTGTGTATTGATTTATTTGAACTGTCTTTCATTAGGATTGAATGATTTAAATGGTTAAATGTCTCTTGGTACCTTGTTCACACACTTTGTGGATGCATCAACAATCTTTTTGTCTATCCCCTCTAGCTGATATTTGACCACTCTTTTTGACAGAATTCATTTAATTTGTTTAGCTTCCTGGAACAGAACTTGCTTTTAAGCAGAATTCATACATTTTCAGATGAGGTTGTGGTCAGAGCTTTGGGAAGCCCTCTCCAGAAGCTTAATGTGAGTAGATCTATCCAGTCACAAACTAGTTCTGATGTGTTCTGGATCTCTGTGTTGTTGGACCCAGCTGAGTTCAAGTGTCAACCGTCCAGCTGTTCGGTCGGAGGGGAAGCTAAAGAATTCAGAGATATTCTTCCTCATTTATTATTCCATGCACTTTGTGTGATACAGTACACAATGCTTCATGTCGTCATTTCTATGATATTCATTTATTCATAATTTCTTCATATATCAAAGTTGTTCGTGGAGTTCCTCAGGGTTCAGTGCTTGGACCAATACACTTTACTTTATATATGCTTCCATTAGGTTAATTTACTAAACAGCATGGGATAAATTTTCATTGTTATGCTGATGATACTCAGTTATATTTGTCCATGAAACTCGATGAATCCAATCAGCTACTTAGACTACAAGCATGTCTTAAAGACATAAAAACCTGAATGACCCTAAATGTTCTGCTTTTGAACACAAACAAGACAGAGGTTTTAATTTTTGCACCTGAGTGTTTTGGGAATAAAGTTTGCAGTCTTTCACCAGGTGGTATTAATTTGGCCTCCTGTTCTAAAGTTAAAAACCTTGGTGTTGTCTTCCTCATATTAAATTTTTTTCCAAAACCGCTTTCCTCCACCTGCGTAATATCACTAAGATTAGAAACAGCTTGTCCAAAAATGATGCAGAAAAACTGGTTCATGCATTTGTCACATCTAGACTGGACTATTGCAATGGTTTATTATCTGGGTGTCCAAATACTTCTTTAAAACATCTTCAGTTGATCCAAAATGCTGCTGCCAGAGTCTTAACTGGAGCTAGAGAACTTTTACTAATTGTATTTTATATGTATGCAAATGTTTTTGTTTAGTGCCTTGATATGACTTCTGTTGTGACTTGGTGCTATATAAAAAACTGAATTGAATTTCTTCTTATTTATGTCAGTGTCCAAAACGTTCAACGTCTGTCTCGTCTGACCCTTGACCTTTTCTCCAGATTGTCCATAGGCAGCTGCAAACATGAGTCCAGCTTGAAGGTGATGTTTGTTGGGGCCAGAGCTTCTCTCGTGCTCCACACCCTCTCAGGGATGTCAAACCAGCTTAAATGTGTTACAACTTATGAACAACATAAACAAGTCGTTTGTTGCAGTTTGGTTTAATATTGATGTGTTATGAACTCTAATGTGTCCAAGAGGTAAATTTTATGTACAATCCGGATTCCAAAAAAGTTGGGACACTAAACAAATTGTGAATAAAAACTGAATGCAATGATGTGGAGATGGCAAATGTCAATATTTTAATCGTAATATAACATAGATGACAGATCAAAAGTTTAATCTGAATAAATGTAACATTTTAAAGAAAAAATATGTTGATTCAAAATTTCACAGTGTCAACAAATCCAAAAAACGTTGGGACAAGTAGCAATAAGTGGCTGGAAAAAGGAAATTGAGCATATAATGAACAGCTGGAAGACCAATTAACACTAATTAGGTCAATTGACAACATGACTGGGTATAAAAAGAGCTTCTCAGAGTGTCAGTGTCTCTCAGAAGCCAAGATGGTAAGAGGATCACCAAGTCCACCATTGTTGCACAGAAAGATAGTGCAGCAATACCAGAATGGTGTTACCCAGCGTAAAATAGCAAAGACTTTTAAGTTATCATCATCAACCGTGCATAACGTCATCAAAAGATTCAGAGAATCTGGAACAATTGCTGTGCGTAAGGGTCAAGGCCGTAAAACTCTACTGGATGCTCGTGATCTCCGGGCCCTTAAATGTCACTGCACCTCAAACAGGAATGCCACTGTCAGGGAAATAACAGAATGGGCTCAGGAATACTTCCAGAAAGCATTGTCAGTGAACACAATCCACCGTGCCATCCGCCGTTGCTAGCTGAAACTCTACAGTGCAAAGAGGAAGCCATTTCTAAGCAAGCTCCACAAGCTCAGACGTTTGCACTGGGCCAGGGGTCATTTAAAATGGAGTGTGGCAAAATGGAAGACTGTTCTGTGGTCAGATGAGTCACGATTTGAAATTCTTTATGGAACACTGGGACGCCATGTCATCTGGACCAGAGAGGACAAGGATAGCCCAAGTTGTTATCAACGCTCCGTTCAGAAGCCTGCATCACTGATGGTATGGGGTTGCATGAGCACTTGTGGCATGGGCAGCTTGCATGTCTGGAAAGGCACCATTAATGCAGAGAACTATGTTCAGGTTCTAGAACAACATATGCTCCCATCTAGACGTCATCTCTTTCAGGGAAGACCCTGCATTTTTCAACACGATAATGCCAGACCACATTCTGCAGCAATCACAACATCATGGCTACGTAGGAGAAGGATCCGGGTACTGAAATGGCCAGCCTGCAGTCCAGATCTCTCACCTATAGAGAACATTTGGCGCATCATAAAGAGGAAGGTGAGACAAAGAAGGCCCAAGACGATTGAACAGTTAGAGGCCTGTATTAGACATGAATGGGAGAGCATTCCTATTTCTAAACTTGAGAAACTGATCTCCTCTGTCCCCAGATGTCTGTTGAGTGTTGTAAGAAGAAGGGGGGATGCCACACAGCGGTAAAAATGGACTTGTCCCAACTTTTTTGGGATTTGTTGATGCCATGAAATTGGGAAACAACAGATTTTTCCCTTAAAATGATACATTCTCTCAGTTTAAACTTTTGATCTGTGATTTGTGTTCTATTCTGAATAAAATATTAGATGTTGGCACCTCCACATCATTGCATTCAGTTTTTATTCACAATTTGTTTAGTGTCCCAACTTTTTTGGAATCCGGTTTGTAATTTACAATGTTTGTGATTTAAATCCAGCACAACCTGTTAAAAGATTTAACAAGAGCTGGGTGTATACGTGTGGAGAAAATCAACACTAAATCAACTGTGGAGAAAAAAAATCTAATAAATAATTAAAAGCCTAAATATGACATAGATGCCCACGAGTTAACCACAACTGCATCAGTAAATAGGCTGCGGGAGTAAGGATCTATTAGTATTTATTATGCATTTGTGTTTGATTTTAGCCTGTAGATTTAACATAAAAATAAGTATTTTATTTAACACGTTTACAGTTTATTTTGGGTTTTGAATTTATATGACTTGTAAACATAAAGCTTTAATAAATGCTTGTTCCAGACCTATGATAAGTTGTGAGTAATTTACATTTCCTGTGTACAAGCAAGAAAACCTTCAGTTTGTATTGACTCAGCCTTGATTGAAATAATCTGGTGTTTGTGCCTCTGAGGCTGGAGGTGACTGTAATCTTAATCTACTGCAGAGAAGGGATTAAATCTCAGGGTGAGCACTAGGCCTGTCACGATAACAAATTTTGCTGTGCAATTGTCTCAGAAATTATTGGGATAAACGATAATATTGTTTGAATTTTGACAATAATTAGTAATTATTGTCCAATTTAAGATTAAATATTGGTTAATTTGTTTGAGTGTAGTACCAGGTGTTGACCACCAGATGGCAATAGAAGACTGTTTGAACAGAAGGATGGATAGTGAGGGAGAGAGCAGCGTGTCTCTTTAAGGAAAATGGGAGGGAGGCCCCTTGACGAGACATGGGCTGTCTCTCCTTCTGGTTTTGTGGTTCTCAAAATGGTGGACACTCAGTGTGGTTTGAGTTCTTTAACGTAGCATTTTTCACACAAAGCTTTTAATAAAAAACAGTAAACAAGTTCTCAGCTCCTTTTTGCAGAGAAAAACAACTTTTTACACGAAGGCAATGGTTTCAACCGTGAATTTTGGAGCTTCGATAAGACAGAGGTTTTTTTCCCCGAGATCGGCCTGTTAGCTTAGCTCGTAGTTTAGCTTCTCAGTTTAGCTGCTTTTAACAATCCAAAAATGTGATTTTGGATTGTTAAAACAGATTTTAAAGAGAAAGGGAGGGTTCAGTGAAGAGCACCAGAGTTGAGCCTTTTGTCATCCAGTGTCTTCAGTAGAAAGAGAGAGACACAAAGAAAAGATAAAGCTGATAAATGAAAATGAGGTCGATAATTTTCATTTATCATGCAATTAATTGAATTATTGTTTATCGTGACAGGCCTAGTTATCACAGCCTTAAATAAAAAAAAAAATGAATAAACAATCTACTTTAGTCTTTAATTAGACGACACAGTTCAGGTAAACACGTTGCTCTTTATTTTACCAACAACATCATGAAACTGTCGTTGACGGACAGGATCTGTTTTATCTGAACAACAGTCTGGTGTTTCCAGTTTAAGGCTTTTTGATTCTAGCTTTGTGTTTGTGGTGCAGCCCCGCCCGAGTCCTGCCCCACAGCAGCTCATTGTATGGGACACTTTGTGGTCGTTACATGATGGACTCAAACAGTTAGCACCGTAACCACAGCCTCAGAGTTTGATGTTTGATGCTGCATGGAAAACAAAATGGAGAGCATTTACAAGAAAACGGTCCAGGTTTAAATCCACCTCTGCCCCCGTCCCATCCCTGACCCCCCCTCTGTGTGAGTCCACACATTTCAGAAATCTCCCTTCTCTATTTCTACAAAGACAACTTTGATAAAAGAACATGATAAGGATCTGTTCCCCAAAAAAAACTCACAATAATCATCTAACATGTTCTGCAAAATAAATAAATAAATACAAATTTAAGAAAGCTTTTGTTTGTCACAAAATCATGGTTAAAAAAAGGTGCAAAGACAATAATCTACAAATAATCAGTCTTAAATAAAAGTAGTGGCGTGACTTGGACTCTTTGTATAAATCAGTTCAGCTGAGCGAGTAAAAAAAAAAAAAAAGAGAAACACAAAAATGTAGAAAAGTTTTGGTCAAAATGAAAATAAAACAGCAGATCTTTGTAATATTATGAAAAGTAGCCGACGCCTTTTATCACTTCCCAGGTATGAACACAGTAAACAGAGCCGTCCCGTCTAAACTTCCACTTCTTCATTTACAGTAAAACAATCTGTTTTGTTCGTTTTGTTGCTGAACACAGAGACAGTCCGGACCTGTTTTCTATCCAAACACTTCCTGTAAGAGTGATGAAGTCACATTTAGTGTAGCCAATTCTCAGATCATGTTCTGAAGGTGCTTTAATCTGTGATCATGTCCCAAAACATACACTGTAAACACATTAATTTAGTTCAGCTGAACCTAATGTGAGAGGAATGTCGAAAATCCCAGTAAGAACATGAAAGTTTGATCCAGACCGTCCAGTTTTACATTCAACCCAAAGCTGCTTTAATCAACTACAGATTTAAAGCAACACGTTCAGACGGCTTCAGCGAGGTCAGAAAACTTTGATAAATGATAAACATGAACAGAACTCCATGTTGGCTTCAGTTGTGGATTGTTAGTTTAATAATCACTTGTGACCTCCTCACCTGGTGGAGTTCTAGCTGCCAGAAATGATCATGCATGCTGAAGGCTTGTCTACGACACCTGCAGAGGAGGTGCTGCACCTCCCCGAGCAGAGCCTCTGATTGATAACAGCGCCACGTCTCTGCCTGCCTGTGCTTCAAGGTTCACCTCCTGTGCCTCATCATGACCTGAGAATTAATACAGAAACCAAAGTATGCACCGTCACAACGCCACAGGATCTCTTCTTCGTAGAACGTAAAGACTCATAGCTCCGCCCATCCCGTCACCTGACCGCTCACATAAAGGGCTGAAGCAGACGGCGCGGTGAGAACCGTCCCCCTGCCGGCTCTAAGGCAGGCTGCGTGCGCGGCACCCAGCTGTGTGCACGTGCAGCCTGTCACACGGTGGTTTCGTACTCCATCACTTCTTTGGCTGTGCTCAGGCAGCGGTACTGAATCCTCGGCGTAACTGGAGCAGCGCTCTCCAGCACCAGGATGGTTTTACGCAGCCGGCGGTCGATGAAGTGGGCGTCCCACGCCGGGTATTTCTTCCTGGGTAAATCTATCCGGATGACAGGCCCCTCTGTCCTGGGTTTGAGGGCAGGCACTGGGGGTTTCGCTCCCCTGGGAGGCCGCACCTTAAACACGTCCCCATCTACCCCGGACTCCCTGTCCAAGCCTTTAGTTCTCTGAAGGGTCCTGGGGGGGCTGCTCACCAGATCAGGAGGAAGGCTGGATGCCGGGGAAGCCAGCGACTCCACGGGCACCTCCTTCTCCACGATATACGCCCACCCTGAGATTGCGCCGTCAGGGTGCAGTAGGCAGTAGTACACAAACATAAAGAAGGTGCCCAGAGCGTAGCTGCTGGCCACCACACACACCAGGACGACGGCGTAGAAGTCGGCGTTACTGTGGCGGTCAGCGGTGCCCCGGTACACATACCAGGCAGTGGTGAGCGCCACGTTCTCAACGAACACCGTCAGGCTGTAGATGAGCATCCTGTAGCGAGTGCGCCCCTCTCTGACAGAGAACCAGCAGAAAACATACACGATGCCCACCATCATGTTGTAGATGATCTCCTCCCATTTGGACATGCAGAAGTCCGTCTCGCCCTGGATGATCCAGAAGGTCATGATGCACCAGTGGGACACGATAAAGATGCCAAAGTAAAGCTGGAACACGGAGGCAAACAGGGCAAATGCCAGCGTGCGAGCACCGATGGTGAACAAGTGCCACAGAATCTGAACTATGACAGCTTTGTAGGTCATGGGTAGCTTATCGTCCCGAGAGTCTCTCAGGACTTTCTGATAGGAGGAGATCATCCAGGCGAGGGATATCAGTGAGGCAGAAGCTGAAAGCCCTGAGGACACACAGCAAAGGAGGGAGGAACAGAGTTAGGTGGAGAGAAACATATATTCAGTTTAAAATTCATGACTTTTCAGGTTAATTTTACAGTTTCCTGCTCATTTTAGACAAAAACACATTAAACTACACAAGACACAAAGAATGAATTTCACTGGATACAGAGAACGGGTTCTCTGCAGACCAAAAGTGGGCGTTTCTGGAGAATAGGCGTTTGTAGAGGACAAACACTGATTGGATAGCTGTATTTTCTGGCTCTTTAGTTAAGTTACGTCAGCTCTTTTTTAAAACTGAAGGTTTCTAAGAAACAGCGTTATATCTGCTGTCAAACACAAGAAGATTCTCTTTAGCCCTTGGGTGGTGGGCTGCACCTGACACAGGTTGGTTTGAGTGTGGTCTGAGTACAATGAAATATGAAGCATCTGAAGCGAAACCTGCTCCCAAAAGTCTGGTCTCAATTAAAGATCGTGAGTCCTGTAACGAGATAATGGCCCAAAACAAACGCTACAAACAAAATGTTCTCTTTAGAAGTTCTTCTATGAGATCTGATCTATGAAAGGAGCTGAAACATGGAGTAGGGTTGACCCTTAAAATGTGAGACAGCTGAGGAAGTTAACCAGTAAACAGAAATATCTGCTCCAGCTGCAGAAATCTGACAGAAACTGACAATCACTCATCTGCAGTGACTGATTTAAAAGTTGAACAAGAAAATGTGAAGTTAAAGGAAACATCCTTTGACCCAAAGCCAGTTTAAGTATCATTAATATTTTGGCTACTTTATTTTTCTTTCTTTATGAATCGATTGTAACTATTTTAACATTATTCAACAACCAAAAACGGATTTTGTTTTTTTAATGTAATTGCTAGGTATTAAAAAACAAACATTTAGCCCTCCCCACTACCCAGTTGTGTTGCTCTTATTTTGAAATGTAACCAGATGTTCTGTGTTAAGAGAGGTGGAAAGAGAAGTTATGGAGATGCCGCTAATGTTGAACCGGTTAACACCATAGGCATAATATGTCTGTGGTTAACACAAGCCTAGGTATTTTTTTGTCAGTCTTTTTTTTCGTCCAATCAGATGTGGCCCTCTGGACACGCCCATTTTTCTATTATCCAATCAGATGTGGCCCTCCAGATACGCCTTCCAAATTTGTCTGCAGAGATACATACTTGTGAACACCTCTGGACAGTTGCACGCATTTTTATCTGTTTTGTGACAAATTTGTGATTTCAAACAGTTCAAAGTCTTCTTCAAACCAAAACAAGCTTAAAGTTGTAAATTGAAAATGATCTGGGGCTAAATTTGTGGATATCAAGTTGCAAACATTCTGCAACATGGAGTCTGCTTTTAGAGGTCGGAGTGTTCAAAGCTTCATCTGCATCCTCCAGATCATCACGTGAATATAAAACTACTTGAAATAAATGAAAACATGAGTTTTAGTGATGGTTCTTGAAGAAAGTTAAGACAAAAACCAAAGTCTACACTGTGCCTTTTTAACCAATTTACTAAACAAAAGTATATTTTAGACTAAACCAGGTCTTGGTGTTTCTATTTTAAAGTCAAAGATCATTACATGAAGAAAGACAGAAAAGGTCTGAATTAACTATGAAAGCATTAATTTACTGGAACTATGTTCAGTAAGCTAGGAGAGTATTTAGTAGCTATGCTAACCTGATTAAAAAATGTAAACAACTATGAAAGGGACTTCAGACATATAAACTCAAAGTAGCAGTCGTATAAAGAGTTGAAGAATTTCTATACTATTAGCTTCATGTTGTCATACGTGAGTCGAGCGTAGTTTAACGATGTGCTCCATCACAGACAGGAAAACATTCTCCCTCAGTTTTAACTCAGTTCATGAGATCTAAAGGCCACAGCTGTTCCTGAAACATGGACATCTGTGGTGAAAATCATCACATCATCTGCAAACATACACAGAAACTTTGCTTTCTTTTGGTATTCAAGTCAGTTTATTTACACAAGTCACAACAGAAGTCATCTCAGAACAGAAACATTCATATACAGTAAGTAGTCCCTCACTACTTCGCGGTTCGACTACTGCGGACTCGCTTTATCGCGGTTTGTGGACAAGACACACGATTGTGGACTGTACAGTAATATCACTGTACTCATGTGCTTGTGAAAAAGTTAATGACAAAATATATATATAATTCAGACAGGCGCCACCATTTTGTAGTTTTCTTTCATTCAGCCTCCAACTGTACTGTAATCGCCACTCAGACGGACTACATTTCCCTCAAATCCATGCTGTGCTGTACTGTAGTGGCTCTGGGCGCCCTTTTCTGCCTAACAGTATTTTTGCAAGCGACGTCGTGACTGCTGAACCAGCCTTTCAAATGTAAAATTTAATTCATGTCACATGGACAAGTTTTTTTTAAGAAAATTCAACTTTACAAACGTTAAGAGTCGTAAGAACGTGAAAACAATGTGAGGACGTCTCTTTAAGAGACAGAGCGTTGCACCTGGGCGTGGACTGAATCAGTAACCATCAGCTCTGTTTCCTCAGCCACAGACTGGTAGTTACCGTCTGTTTACCTTCGCTCTTTTTCAACTAAACTTCAAGCGTTACTGCTGCGTTGTGGCTTCTAAACGTTCTGTGCGTTCAAAGTTTCTGGCGGTGAACCGAAACGCCAGCGGAAGATTCTGACGATTAAAGAAAAAGTGGAACAGGATGGTTCGACAAATTTCAAAAGCGATTTGGATTAAAAAGTGTTGCTCTGCACAGAGAGGCTGCGTCCGCTGATACAGCAGGAGCGGAGGAGTTTGTTAACACGAGTTCAAAGATCTGATCGCCCAGCGGGGCTACAGGTCTGAACAGGTTTTTAACGTGGACGAAACGGGACGGTTCTGGAAAAGGACGCCATCTCGCACTTTTATTAAGAAGGATGAAGCTAAAGCCCCTGGTTTCTTCTCATCGTCATCACTGGACAGCTAATCCTTCATCTCAGTCTCTTCATCTTTTCTGGTGAGTACCCATTTAAAATTAATATTTTTAAAAGGTTTGAGAGTTTAGAAAATTGGTGGGAAGGGTTTAAAATGCCTTGATACGTATATAAATACTAAAATAAACTACTACTACTTGTACTACTATCCCTACTTCATGTTTTTTCACTTATCGCATGTGGGGTGGGGGCTGGAACCTAACACACACAATAAACGAGGGACTCCTGTAGTCAGTTAATAATGTTATTTATCTGAGCAGCAGACTGCTTTGAGTCAACTTTGTCTCAGACGCTCATCTTTGAGGATGCTCAATGAGAGTCTGAGACGAAGTTAAGACTCTGCAGTCGAGATGAGGTAGAGGCAGGGCAGCCTCCCAGGTTTGATCCCCCGCCATCCCCACATGTCGTGGTGTCCTTGAGCAAGACACCTAATCCCTAATTGCTCCCCGGGCACTTACATAGCTGCCCACTGCTCCACCTGGCTGTATCCCAGGTGTGACGGGTTAAATGCAGAGAACTAATACTACAGTGATGAATGTAATGATACGATACTTTTATGTAGGTGATACAGCCCATCAATAAACTATGCTCGACTCACAAAATGTTTCAAAACATAAAACTACAACTATGACTATGTTCTTCTTCTTAGAATTAAATTAAAAACTTTAGTGTTTGAGCTTTATATTTTAAAAAGAATAAGGAGTAAAGTCTGGAAACTGCTAAATGTTCCATACTTGTACTACTTTTTCCTTTACTTAGATGTCCTCCATCTCCAGAATACAACCTTTGCTGACCTGCTGATGACCTTGGGACACTCACCCTGAAGGGGCAGCACCTGGCCGGTGTGGATCATGATGCTGAGCTGCAGCACCAGCTGAGGAGCGCTCTTCAGAAAGGACTCGAGCAGACGCAGCATGCTGATATCTGCATTCTCAAACATCATGCGGCGGTAGAAGTAACGGCGCTCGGGGTCTCCATGCCAGCGGCTCTGCACCCCCAAGTACAAGGCGTGGACATACCTGAGGGCAGGATTCAGACACTTCTGTTAGGAGAGGCGAGGAAAAAGGAGGAATCTTTCAACCTTCAGAAACTTCGGAACATCAAGGCAGGTTTTATTTTTGAAACTCTAGGAGCTGTCACTTCCTGATGGTTACTTCCTCTTGTGGGATTTAGATTAGACTAAAAGTGAACTAAGCAGCTCTGAGGTTATAATTTTATTCCAGACATCAGAGAGAGGAATGAAGAACATGTCTGCAGCCTCGCTTCTTTGAATCCAGTTAGAAACAAGAGCAGAGACAGCGAAGAGGAACTGTGAATAAGATCAAGCAAGTCTCTTGTAGCAGCAACTACTACTCACATACAGGACACTGACCAGAAACATCCAGTACATAAAAACCAGTTAATAACAATATGTATCTAAGGAGCCAGCAGATTGCTTTGAGTTTTCACTTCGTCACAGTCTCCCATCCTAAGTGAGCACAGATGCAACAGTGGAAAGGAAAAACTCCCTCATGAGGAAGAAACCTCCAGCAGAACCAGACTCAGGACAAGCTTTGGCCGGCTGGGCCAGAGAGGGCAGGATGGAGAAATGAACACACAATGACAGGTCCAGGATGGACCCAATCAGGTTTTTCTCCAGGAGGAAAAACAAAAATCATGTTAATAAAGAATGAATACAAATACAAACTATTAATTTGTAACTATTCATTTGATGACATGAGGTCAATTTGTCCTCCAGTAGTCTAAGCCTATAGCAGCATAACAAGCCAACCCTGACTATAGGATTCACCTACTTTAGAGGAACATAGGTGGGCGACATTAAACAGCATGGGATACATTTTCATTGTTATGCTGATGACACACAGTTATATTTGTCCATTAAACTCAATGAATCCAATCAGTTACTTATACGATCGTGTCTTAAAGACATAAAAACCTGGATGACGCAAAATTTTCTGCTTTTAAACTCAGATAAGACTGAGGTTTTGGTTTTTGGACCTGAGCATCTTGGGAATACATTATTCAGTCCTTCTCCCTCCTTGGATCACATTAATCTGTCCTCCAGCTCTAATGTTAAAAATCTTGGTGTTATTTTTGATCAGGACGTCTTTTAACCCCCACATTAAAAACGTTACTAGAACCATCTTCTTCCATCTGCGTAATATCACTAAAACTAGACACATCTAAAGATGATGCAGAAAAACTGGTCCATGCATTTGTCACGTCTAGACTGGACTATTGCAATGTTTTATTATCTGGATGTCCAAATACGTCTTTAAAACGTCTTCAGTTGATCCAAAATGCTGCTGCCAGAGTCTTAACTGGAGTTAGTGGGAGAGATCATATTTCTCCAGTTTTAGTTTCTCTCCATTGGCTCCCTGTCAAATCCAGAATTGAATTTAAAATCTTACTTCTAACCTACAAAGCTCTCAACAACCTAGCTCCATCTTGTATTCATGACTTTATTGTTCCATATTTTCCTAACAGAGCACTTCACTCTCAGGCTGCAGGTTTACTTGTGGTTCCTAGAGTTTCCAAAAACAGAATGGGAGGCAGATCTTTCAGTTCTCAGGCTCCTCTCTTGTGGAACCAACTTCTAGTTTCTGTCTGTGAGGCTGACACATAGTCCAGTTTTAAGACTGGGATTAAGACTTTACTTTTTGGTAAGGGCCCCAGAGCTCATTAAAACTCTTCAACTCGAACTTATTTATGCTAAATAACTAACAACACAGGCCTAAAGTTTTGAGCTTTAAGAACTTATATTAAATTAAAACAAAAGAACAAAAACATTCACAGTAATTTCAAATATTTTCAATCTATAATAAAGTCTTTCAGTTTCTCCAACATTTTTCAGTCAGGTCATCTGGACAGTTTCTTTTTTTGTGCTGAAACATTTCGCCTTTGATCCAGAAGACTTCATCAGTCAAGGAAACACACAACAAAACTGATTCCTCCCCCAACATCTTACTCCAAAGTGGAACAAACCAGTTCTGCTTGTGATAAGATGGTCTCTTTGGTACGCCCCTCCTCCATTGCCGGCCCTCTTCCTTGTTGACAGTCTTGTCAAACTGGTTGAAAACAACAAAGTCCATGCTCAATAATCCAGGTATACAATCCAACATTTTTCAGTCAGGTCATCTTTTTGTGCTGAAACGTTTCACCTTCGATCCGGAAGGCATGACTGAAAAATGTTGGATTTTATACCTGGACTATTGAGCATGGACTTTGCTCTTTCAGTTTCTGATTACCATATTAAAGTTTACACCCAATCAAGTGGGCCCACCATCTAACATACACCTAAGCCGGCATATAGTTCAATTAAATTAGTTCAAACAAAATAACCCCTGTTGCAGGTCTGTGGGAATGTGGTACCTTACTAGGTCTAGATCATCTGGAACTTCACCTGTCAGTTCCAGTTGAAGTAAAGATGGTGGGGGATGTTCTCAACTCCTTACCCATCTCTCGGTCCACCACAAGCACGAGAAGAACATGCAAAACTCCACACAGAAAGACCCCAGGTCCAACCAGGGATTGAACTCAGGACCTTCTTGCTGTGAGGCAACAGTGCTAACCACTGAGCCTTAGTCCAATTAGTTTAGCTATTGTGATGAACAGAAACATGGGGTTATTTTTATTCTCATATACAGTAGTCCCTTGTTTATCGCACGGGATCTGTACCCTGAAGCCCTGCAATAAGTGAAAAACTGCCAAGTAGGGATAGTAGTACAAGTAGTAAGTAGTAGTTTATTTTAGTATTTATAGTATATATATATATATATTTACTTACGGTGACCTTTTTGGATTTTGACATGGCCACCCCATTTTTCAAAGGAAACTTTCTTACACTTAGATGAAGCACCACACGGTACGACCGCGATGCACTTTTAGAGTTTTGAGTGTCTCTGCCTTGCCATCCTGCCATCGTGGATCAGTTCCCGGCCCCCCTCCTGCCTCGGACTCAGGCTTTGGCCTGTCATGGCAGCTGTCTCCAGTGATCCTCCATCAAACTCTACGGACCCATTCGGCTCCACGGGAAAACCTTGGACGTTCTGTGTCTGCTGGACTCGGTTCTGGACGGCAGTCTGGGAGGGCAGTTGCCGCGGTCGTTATTACCATCATGCTTCTAACGGGACCTGCTAGCAAGACCACACTGCCAATAAGACCATGCTGCTGTAGATGCATTTCTTTTTCACTTTTGGTGTCTTGTTTTTGTATTTTTGTTTTGTTTGGGGTTTTATTTTTTGGTGAGTCGAGACGGTTCTTCTCGTCCTGAGCACTTCATTGCTTTGTTGACCTTGTGTTGATTGCACAGGACAAATAAACCAAACCTGAACACCAAAATGGGGGTCAGTCAGTGCCTCACTTATTTTTTTAATTATCGGGCTCACAACATGCACAGACGGACGGATGCACGGAGGATATTTCCAGTCCCCCTTTACCTCCATGATGGGGGACAATGATCAAATATCAGGGAGAAGTAGAACAATAAAAGTCTCTGTGATGGCCTTGAGGAGGAAGGTCAGAAGAGGCTCATGTGGACACGCTCACTGAACCCCAAGAGAAATCCAATAACTTTCTTTGTGGTCTGGTTCCCTCCACACAAAGCCTGCTCTGGTACATACTGAGAGTAAAAAACAGAGCGTGTGCTGAAATGAGGGTCAAAGACTCACAGCTCGTGGCTTCATCACCACTCAGTCCATGACACAACCCCATACGACATGTGATCGTGTGAGAGGACGTCCAGCTCAGGTAGCTCACCTGAGTATCAGTGACAGATCGCTGCTGAGTTTACACTCCGCTGAAATCCTCTTAATGTGCACACACGCCGGTGTGAGAGCGGCACCAGTGAGCACCAACAGCTTTAATGGCATTACCGGTAATTCTGCGCTGCCTGCCACGAGGTTTTAATGTGCTCCTGAACACGCTCGGTCTCCAGACGGAGGAGATCGATAGTATCCTGTCTCAGGAGGAAGGAGGAGCGAGGACACAGAGACACATTGTTGTCCTACAGGTAAACCTAACGGTCTTTGTGTACCAGCCCAAAGTGTCTGAAAGACCTTCCTTTGAGCAGATGTATTATCAAACCCCCCCCCCCCCCCCCCCCCCCCCCC